CCAACCCCCCCTAAGGCCCAGCCGATGAAGACGTCACCCAGGATCCAGAGCGGCCCGGCAGGCGGGGGGATGTCCATGCCCATGAAGCCACTCAAGCAGAGGGTCTTCCCACCCTGCGACACCTGTGATAGCCATGGTGGTCACCCCTGGCCTCTCCCCCACCCAGGACCCATTCCCACCCTGGGACAGCCAGACCCCACCTGTGCACCATTTACCTTAATCGTGTATTCCTCTCCTTTCAGGTGGTAGTCTTTGTTCCCCAGCCTTATTGTGATTTGGGGCAAGCTGGCCACCTTCTCACAGGGGATCATATACTAAGAGAGGAAATGGCAGTGTCAGCGGTGGTAGCTCAGGGCACCCCCAGCCTGCCCGGCCCTACGCAGCCCTGCTCGGCACTCACCTCGCCCTGGATCAGCGGCACGGCCCCCATGGCCTTATGCAGCTCGCGCACCTCATCCACGGGGCCCACAATGAGGGAGGTGCCGGTGTCCACGATGACCTCACAGCCCTCCTGGCACAGAGTCAGCCCATCGCCCACCTCTAGCCTGGAGGGAAGAAGGACACGAGTCTTCCACCTGGGCTGACTGTGGGCCCAGGATGCACAGGCCGCCTGGCTGCATCTTCCACAGGACCAAAGCCCTCCTCCTCTTTCTCAGAGCTGACTCGCGGGTGGCCACAAGTGACCTGGGGCGAAGAGGAAACTCAAGTGGCAAAGACTAGGTTAAGACCGGCAGGTAGTGAAAGGCACAGAGGGCCCACTGTTGGATCCATCCCACCTCTACCTGTTCCCAGCTCCCATCACATCTGTGGGGGCTGCCTGCTGAAAGGGCTGGCAGCCTGGGCAGGCTGAGGGGAGGGCCAGGCCAAGCAGCCCCAGGAGGACCCTGGGTAGCAGTCACCTGCAGACCTGGAGAGAGACCACCCACACCCTCTACTCACTTATCCATGTGGATCTGCCAGTAGGCCTTGCGGGTGACGTTATAGTAGTCCAGGGAGCCTGTGTAGTACTTGGTGTCAACGCCACCCAGCATCAGTTCACCGCCGGGTTGTCCGCTGGGATCTCTGGGAAGAATGGGAGTGGGAAGGAGTCAGTTGTTTCCCCACCCCCAAACATGAGAGGGAGGCCAGGAATTCCGAAGGGGGTGGGTGGAGCAATCACTGAGGGCTTCCTAGAGGAGGAACCTTCCTAGGCCTGCAAGAATGGGAGGACTCAGAAGGGAGCGGGGATGGCACTTCCTTCTTTCCAGGGAGGGCTCTATCCCACAACCTGGGTGGGCTGAGCCCATCTCCTGCAAAGGAAACCTTGCTCAGGCTGGTATGATTTGCTCAGGAACCAAGGTTCAGGCACAGACAAGGTCAAGGCTGTGAGGCAAATGGGGAAGTGAGATGAGCCCAAGGAGAAGGGACCCTGACTGGATGACAAGCCAAGAAAGGCTTCTAGGAAGAAGCATCGGGTGACAGCACACCCCTGAGAGATTGAGGGCCTGTGAACTTACTGTTCCTGTGAATGCCTCAGCTCACCACCTCGGAAACCTCACTGGCTCTTCCCTCAGGCCTCCACTCCTCTCACCTCTCTCACCCAGACCGGCACAAAAAGGCCCCCGTGCTCCACAGCCCCCACGCCTGAGCTGCTTTATGTAACAGTGAGGAAGAGTGAGGAGCTTTTCCTGGCAGCGAATCCTCCTGGTTCCATGAGAAAAACCCTCTTCACCAAGGAATGCTCTACTGTCCTGCCAGGATGTGCCCTGCAGAGCTCACCGGGGTGCCCCTGGCCCTCAAAACCACTGGGCTGACCCTATCCTGCCACTCCCCCTAGCCTTACCCCAACAGCACCTCTGAAACCCCAAGTATAGAAAACCCCTGTTCTTCTGAGCTGCAGGCCCAGAGATCCCACCAGGGCAGTCATGCTTCTGTGTGTCCCCAACCTCGGACCTAGCCAACCTCCTGGGTCCACCCCACGTTCAGAGGGAGGAAGCCATTTCGTCTTCCTGTTTTCCCGGTTCCTGGGGAAGTGACCCCAGCTTGTGCATCTGTGTCTCAGCCACTAGTGAGTGGCTTTGCCCAGAACACTGCTAACAGTATTGGCTGACCAAACAAAGGCCAGAAGAAAGCATCCACACAGAGGTCGGGCCAAGGGCAGGGGGTGGAAGAGCTGAGCAAGAGAGGTTCTAGGGCCAGCAGGTGTCACATGGCTGACTCTGCGGTTGGAGTCCCAGACCTGCTAGCTTGAAAAAACATGCTGGGCATGTGTGCATATATGCCCAAAATCTTGAGAGGAGAATGGAGGAGGAAGGACCACAGTGAGGCCCTCTCCCCTGGAGTGGACAGAGCTGATTTCTCTTTCTCTCTCTCTCTGTCTCTCTCCAGTGCATGTACACACCCTCTAGCCAAACTAGCAGAGAGAGGGGATTCTAAGCTGAAATTCCGCCAGAAGTGCCCTGTGGTCAGGGATCAGGCCCAGAGACCCTGAGTACTAAGCAGGCATGTGAGAGATAATCCTCCTCACCCAGCCCAATTCAGCCCTGGGGAGAAAGCAACTCAGGACAAAGTTCAGGCAGTGTGGCACCCCTAACACTGTCACCTCCCCCTGTCTAGAGCTGATTCAGGACTGGCAGCAGGGGCCTGAGAAGAGGAAACTGAGGCCAGGCATCTCCCAAGGTCACCTGACCATGACTTCCCAAGGTTATACTTGCTGGGGCAGCTGCTGCTGGGGCCAGGCAGGAAGGGATCCCTGCTGTTCTTGCTAGAGGGCAGATGACACCTGCTAGGGAGGCCCAGAGGCTGTGTTCCACGTGGTGACCAGAAGCAAGTTTCAAGCAGCATCTGCCTCTAAGACCATCAAGGGTCACCTCCTTGGAGACGTCTCCTAGCATGCTGGAAACAACTCCTCGACAGCCTCTCCAAGAGGTCTTGTCACAGGTCTGCATTCACAGCCATGTCCCCTCTGGACCATAAGCAACTTAGGTGGCCAGGACCACATCTGTCCTTCACTAGGCCTGAGGACATTAAGCAGACCGAACCAGGAAGAATTGCCATGACCCCCAACTCAGGTCTGACTCCCATGAGCCAAGATTCGCTCCTGGGACCCACAGCCCAGCCTGAGCATCTGCCTAGGGGACTGTGGCATGACACAGCCTCCTCTGAGGCTAGCTGCTCATCCTGCTTCCTGTGATGCCCTGAGGTCAGAGGTCAGGAGCTGTGGCCACACGCCTGGAAGGTGAACAGGGCAAGCACGGAGGGGCAGCAACAGGAGCAGAGTGAATGGGCAGCTCTGAGCCGTCCTGACACCCCCACCCCGCATTTCAGCACAGCTGAGCCCAGGAGAACTGGGGGGAGAAGGGAGGCAGCCGGGGATAGAGGCCACACTGCCCACCCCACCTGTTCAGGTAGAAGGCGAAAATGTTCTTTTCCACCAGCTTCTGTTTCATCAAGTTGTCAAAGACGGGCACCACGTTGTCGACAGAGATGCGCGGGTAGGCCATGCCCAGGATGCCATCGAACTTGGCTGCGAGGAAGGTGATACCTGGCTGCTTGGTGGCCTCTCCAAAGGTCTGCTTATCCACTCTGACACTCACGGTATGGCAGGGCACCTGCAGGCCAGGGCAGGAGTCAGTGGCCACACATGCTGGCCAAGCCCGACACCTGTCCCTGGGTTTGGCTGGCCACTGTTACAAAACCCAGCTGAATTGACAACCCTTCATCTCACATAGGATAGTGAGGTGGGCAAAGAGGGCTAGAAGAAAGCGCTGGAAACAGCATTGAACACAGCTGGGGACAAGCTGAGGGTGGGGTGTGGGGGGTGGCCAGGGGCATGCTCTTTAATAACTAGGTGGGAGCACAGATAGACAGGCTCTGGGCTCAGCTCTGACTCTTGTGTCCCCTTCCCTTATGCCAGACCAGCCGGGCTCCTCCCCTTGGGAACAAGCCTGGGGAACCCCACCACTCCACCGTGGGCCACAGACTCAAGGCCATGCTCCTCCTGGCCCCACTCTGCCTTGCCCTCCCCCAGCCCTCAGGCGGAGGCTGCAGAGAGACAGAGGTGGAGCAGGATGTGGGAAAGAAACGGCTGTTTGAGGCTGACACCAGGAGGAGGGGGTGGCTTGGGCAACATCCTGTTCGGGCTGAGTAGGGCCTAGAGCAAAGAGAAGCCCAAGGAGACCCTGGCAGACACACACAGCGGGACGACTCCAAGGGCGAGGAGTGTGAGCAGCCCCCATAGGGACAGTGCCCCACTGGTCCTTATCGAGACAACATAGGCACAAAACACCACAGCACGGTCCTGCAGAGACCACGTGACCTCCTCCAGACAAGGGCTAGATAAGCTGATCGGGCTCCTGGACCTCAGTGCAGCCACGGCTGTTAGATGTGGCCCACCTGGAGGGAGGGGCCTTCTTTCTGAAGCCCACCTTCCAGCAGGAGGGCTCTGTGTGGGGCTGGCTGTCCCCTCTGCTCATATTTCCCCAGAGCTCCTGATCCCTGAGCACAGGGTCAATGTCAGTTCCTTAGAGAAGGAGGGCCACCTTACACTCAGCTCTAGAAACTCTCAACCCTTAGGCAGGGCTGGCACACAGCCTCCCTGGTCACCTCCCTTCCCCTCAGTTCCTCGGCAGGTTTCCTCCACTAGCATCCCCTTCCTGAGCCTCCCAACCCTTTGGTCAGTTGAAGGAACCTCATCCATGCCCGGGCCAGGTCTCACACCATGCCACTGTGCCTACTCAGTGCTGAAACCTCCACCTGCCAGCAGCTCCCTGCCCCTCTATTCCTCGTGGTCCCCTGACTCCCTGGGAATCCAGGCCCCTCCTACCCTTCTAGTGCCTGGGCCCACTCCCCATCTCCTTCCTTAACTTTCTTACCACAAAAGCACACTAAGCTTATTCTGCCCTGCACCTTGCTCAAGCTGTGTCCCTGATAAACTGTGTCCCTGGCCTAATGAGCCTGTCCCCTCATCCCTCAGCCTCTTCACTAAGCTCGCGGCTTGCTACTGGTCATCCAAGTTCAATTATCCTTCCCGGAATCGGGGTTGGACAGAGGGAGAGGAGTGTCCACCAAGCTCTCTCCTTTAGTCATACATGCACGATGAGCACCCCCCGAGCCCTAAGAGGGACTCACCGACACGGTGTCCTGGCTCAGGTACCCGGAGAGGCTGCCTGAGCCACTGGCTGCCTGAGCGATAGTGGATGTCGAAGGAGCTGCCATTCTTTGCGTAGGTGCTGGATTTCTTGCTGTTGTACTTGTGGTGGAACCCTGGCCCAAGGGAGCACAAAGTTGTCAGCCTGCTGCCCAAAGGCCTCTGATCCTCAGCCCCCGACATACTTCAGAACCCACTTCCTAAGCCGTGTCCAGGATGAACCTGGCTGTGACCCAAGGCCCACTATGTGGGGGCTCTAGAATGATGGGTTGACACCCCAAGCCTTGCTCCCAGCCCAGGGCCTGGGTCCAGCCACAGCTTGCTTCATCATTAGCCACCATGGTCCCCAGCCCTGATGAAAAGCAAGGCTGTGGCTGGCATGAACAGGTTCACCCGGAAAGTGGGGCACCCTGGGGCAGGGCGGAGGGCCCGGCCTGTCTGATGTGGTGAGAGGCGGGAGCAGTATATTGCCCAAGAGATCCCCTGAGGTAGGGCCACGTGGGGATCCCAGGACTGCCCCTGCCTCCGCGGTAGTCCCAGCTCCATCCCAGAAGGGCCAGACTCAGGAAGAGACAGACTGGGGCTGGGTGGCACCCCCACCTTGCCCCATTTCCCAGAGAGCGAGAACACATGCATAGGGGTCCCCACCCCATGGCCTTCTGCTCCTGCAACTGGGATGGGGGCAGCATAGGGCTTGGCCAGGCCCCCACAGCAGGCAGCACTGCAGAGGGTGGGTGACCCTCAGCTCTCCTCTGATCTCCTGGGAGAGGCACTGGGGCAGGCTTATAGACAGGGGTGCAACTCACAGCAGGCGAAGTCCAACATCCCACAGTGGATCGAGGGAACCCACAGGTTGGCGGAGCCAGTGTCAAAGATGACAGTGAAGCACTGTGGGGGGGTTCCGATGCCGATCTCTCCATAGTACTGGGCCTGGGAAGGGAGCAGTCCATCAGGGCTGGAGGCAGGGAGAGCCCACTTCCTCTCTGGTCCCGAGAAGGCCCCTAACTGTTTTGGAAGCCAGGCCTTGAAGGCCCAAGCTGGATGGAGCATATACCCTGGAGTCCAGGCCCCTGCTGCTATGGCAGTTCACTCCCATGGTCCGTTCTTAGGGAACAGCTTTAGCAGGGAGGCTGGTGCCTGACCCCCAGCCTTGGTCCTCATACCCAGGGGCACTGGAGGTTTCCAGGCCCCTCAGTACAGCTGCCCACTCCAGCCTGATGCATGGTGAGGTTGGAGAAGGGTTTTCCCACCTGAGGGATGAGACCTGTCATCAAGCCTGGGTGAGAACAGGTAGGCCCTCCACCTGAGCCCAGGCGTGAGAAAAGTCTGTCTAGGAGACCCCTCTGCTGTTCAGGGATTCAAGGCCCGAAGGGTAGGTCAGGGCCTGTTCCTATTCCAGAGCCCTGGAGGGCCCTCAGGCAGAAGTGTCTGATCAGCTGAGAGGAAAAGGAAAGCCTCAGATGCCCAAAGCCCTGGCTCAGTGTTACTCATCACCCAGCAACTCTTCCTTCACTGCCACTGGCCTCAGTTTCCCCGCCTAGTCACAGGGAAAGCTGGGACACCAAAGTGTTGACTCAGGGACCAGACAGGCATGAGGAGTCACGTGTTCCTTTTAGAGGAAGCCCATCCCTGGGCCTCTCAGAGGTCAGAGGGTCTGGGAGTCCTAGAGTATGAGGTCATCTGGGCCCTGCTGGCCTGAGTACCCTCATCCCCAGTAGGGAGCCTGGTCTGGCCACTGGCTATGCAGGACTTTGGCTCCAATCCCACCTGGCATCTCTAGGGCTACTGGGCTCTAGGGAGCTGCACCAGCTGCTGACTCACAACCAATAGAAGTGCCCACAAGGGTGGGGGTGGGGGAATGACTCAGCAAATTTCCGTGTGCTCACGCACTTATGCACACATGCGTGTGTGTGTGTGTGTGTTTGTGTGTGCTGGGGGATCAGGAACTGGTCACTCAGGTCCCAGACAGATGGTGCCCCCCCCCCCCCCCCCCCCCACCTGCCCCCGGGCGTGTGGGGCGTCGCG